CTCTCTCTCCCCCCCTCTCTCTCTCTCTATTATAACCACTTTTGATAACGATATCACACGGACGTAGTTATGCAATAGACGCTAGAAACCAGTTTTTTGCGTTTTAAAAGGATGCTGTAATATATCTCGTAAGTCTATCCCGGTACAATACACACAGAAAAATATCATTCCACTGTTAAGAAAAGCAATTACTCAGTTTCCTTTTCTTCTTTTAAACAATGGTTATCTTCAATGAAGTACATTTCCTTGGTAATAGTCTTCAATGTACACTGAGAATATATACTGAGAAAAAAGTATTGGAAAATTTATTTGTTGGATATAAAATTTATTTCTAAACATTTGTTGGTAATAAAGTTTATTTTTCTCTATCAAATATACTTTATATCAAATAAATTTTCAAATACTTTCTTCTCAGTGTACACTGAGAAAAAATACTTAAAAATTTATTTACAGGATATAAAATTTGTTTCTCAGAAACAAAGTTTTTTTCTGTGAAGTAAAGTTTACTTCTGTGAAACATAAACTTATATTTCACAAATAAATTTAAAGTCTACATTGAGAAACAAATACTCGAAACTTTATTTGTGGGATATAAAATTTATTTCTTCGATGTAAAGTTCTCTCAATGAAGTTTTCTTGCAAATAAATTGTCAAGTATTTTTTCAATGTACTCAGGAATTTCAGAAAAAAACTCATCATCTCTAAAGAAGAATGTATTCTCTTCATGAGAATATTATGAATCTTTATCGAAGAAAAGGCTCCACTATAATAAGTAAGTAAAATTTTTGTTTTAATTTAATATTTTTTGTTAAAATGTTAAATTTATCAGGATTCAGAATGTATTCAGATTAAATTTGATGCTTATGATGAACTTGTGATAGATTAACGGATATGTAAACATATGAAATAAGTGAAGCAAGTAACATTTACTTGAATGCATTATGTATTTTTCTATATGCACACATGGCACAGTCATCTATTTATGATCTATCTCAAATATTTCGTTAAACCACAGATACCGAGTTTTCATTTATTTTATCTAATCATAGTAGGTGTACTTTGCAGTATAAAATTAAAAGTCTCGGGAACAGCAATCGATTAAATCGACAATAAATCTGTCCTTGTTTAAAACATAAAATTTTTTATAAAAAGAGAAGAGAAAAATGCAGAGAAATAAAAAGAGACGAAATTCCCTCAATAGTATTTTAGAAATGAATGACACATAATCGAGGAACATTCATTTATATCGAGTCAAAATCGATTTTGTAAAAAGTGATCGTTTCCTGCTTACGCGGCAGTCTCTTCCTAAGATATACGAATCTTCGAATATTCTCCCAACATAACCAATTTTACTTTCTACACACAAAAAATTATTATTTACTTAAAACTAATATACTCGACAATCTTAACAATCATTGTTTCATATAAGCAACGATATATAATTTTGTTAAAAGAACTTTAAAGTCTCGAATTTCAAGGACGCTATAATTTTATTAGATTATTATAATAGTCTCATAAAAAATGCTATATAATTATTTTGATGATTTATTTCTTTTTCTAATACTTTAGAACGCATATTCTCGATCCAATATTTTATGTTTCTCATTCATAAAAATGTTTTTTTAACAATAAGCATATATTTTCCTTTATTGAATCGCGTGAAATGTATTGATGCAAGTAATTTATCTTCGTTTATAATGTCATATAATCTTATTTTGAGATTTACAGAAATATTTTCAAGATACTTTCAGAACAAATATGTTCTTTCTTTCCTGTGTAGTTACAGCCTTGTCTTGAAATCGACAGCTTGACGACAGGTAGTCGAATAAAGCGAATCTCGTATCAATACGACGAATTACGTAATCAGCTATAATCCCACGGCTACTAACGGTAGCACGCGATTAGGGAATTCGATTAAAGTAAAAGCGCAAGCGGATGTGATACCGCGTATTATCACCGCTCTTTATTTGCTCGGGGATCTGCTTTGCTGGGGATGACCTTTCTCATTCGAGTGTGACAGGTGCTTTCCCCCGTATTTGAAAATTCTTATATGTCATTTAAACCGATATCGCTGGTATATAAAATCGACCAGCCGCTATGCGCTACGACTCGTATCCTCAGTTGTTGCACAGGCCGTTTCGTGATATCTCGTGAATTTCGAAAACGCGCGCGCCGAACCACCAAATCGTCGTGAACCGAGCCGTGGATCTGCGATCATGTTCAGAAAGACGATTATCCTGATAGTAAGTTTCGATCGTAGCAATAATTTGTGAATGTTCGCTTTTGTAAGCAGCGTAATCCGTGCTAAAGACGCGAAGCCTGCGTGTCGAAATTTGAAACTCACGCGACGATCAAGAAATGTACATTATGCAATTTAACGTTTCCCAAATAACATGCATGTCTAAAATAGTCTAAAGGCTGATTTATTAATAGCAGTTTAAGTGTAAATTTAAATTTACATCTAATGATATGACGTATTTAAACACAGTTTAAACTTAAATTTAAGCTTAAGCTGCTATGAAAAAGTCAGTCCTTGGAAATATTTTAATGTTTATACAAGTAGGATATATCTGTTAGATATTTATCAGACCCGTATTAATAGTCCTTACTTGAAGGTTGTCTTACGTGAAATATTCAGATTCGAATTTTAAGTTATATCAGAATTTTTCGTTCAAATCATACGATATTCGTGACAGGGTATCTGAAAATTCATAATACACCCGTTATATGTGTACAGATAAAATTCATTAAACTGACCACAAAATTCCTCTACGATTTCGCAAACAACCACATGAAATCTTGAGTTATTAATTAAAGAAGATTGATGAATGATCACGCGATGATATCATGATAGATGAGTTGTGATGGCGACATTTGCCCTTGTATGCTTGTACATTAAATCAAACTGAACACAAAAGTGCTCTACCATTTTACAAATTGCTACGTAGGCTTTTAGTTATTAATTAAAAAAATCAGTGCATTATCGCGCAGAATTATATATTAATATTCATTAATTAATAATTAAAAAGCTACGTTATTGATTGCAATATAGTAAAGGACTTTTTTATTCAGTTTGACTTAATGTGCATACACATACAACGGCACACGTCGCCATTACAGTTCACCGTATCGCGCATATTCATTCACTAATTTTCTTTAAATAATAATTCAAACTTTTACGAAGTCGTCTGCAAAATGATAGAGAAATTTTGTGTTCAGTTTGTGTTCAGTTTTACTTGCATACAAACGAGTCAGATATCTTGTATGATGATTTGTCAGATATCTTGTATTTGCAATTGTAATTCAACTGAGAAACTCACATCTAATTCTAAATTCAGATCTGAGTATTTCATTGGAGACAAGTTTCAAGTGACGATTATTAATACAGACCAAAAATATCTTTTAAGCCCATATTAATTGTTATTACTTGAAACACGTCTCGAGTAGTTTTTTGACTTAAATTTAGATAATAATTTAGATAAGAGTTTTTCTGTTGAATTACAATTACAAGTTGAATCAACTTGTAAGTTAAACAATTACAAGTATAAATGTCACTTTTTAAGTTGTCAATTTGTAAGTTGAACAATTACAAGTATAAATGTCACCTATGATAACCAATACAACTGAACACTTAAATCTCATCCGAATAAAAGCTCATCAAGTATCTCACATGAGACAAGTCCTAATATTAGACATTAATAAATTAAAATTCTTTGACTAAAATCGACGAGTCAATAATAAAAATTAATCAATTATTATATATAATTATCATATATAATAACAAATAATTTTATCGATTGATGTAATTAATTATTAATAAGTTTGTAATCGTAATCACATCAAAGTTTGATTAAAATTTAATTTCATCAATCTATGAAATTATTTGTAATTTTATACATGACGATATTAATTCATTTTGATTACTGATTCACTGATTATTTTAGTCAAAGAAAATTTTAGTTGATTGATGCCTAGCATTGATTTCTAGATGATAAATATTAGTCCTAGAATTCTAAACGTGAGTAAAATTCACCCAGACCAATTTCTCAAACATTATTGTTCTTAAAAATATGTTTTGTTTTTTATTATAATTTTTTTAACTTTATAGAATTATAAAAATATTATATAAGAATTAAATTCCTCTCTTCAATTTTTATAAAAAAATTTTTATTAAAAAAAAACATTAAATTTCGATAACTTTTTCCAGCAGTTATGATAATGAGTAAAGAAAATGTTCTTGGTAAACTTTACTCTTTGGGATCATGTAACTTTTTAATATTTAGAATTCTAGGATTATGTTTAGCAAAACTTAAATCAATGAATATTTATACTGTCCACCCTGCGAATCCTATTTATTTACGCAAGCTTATTTACACACAGCAAACTAAATGTTTCACTCTCACCTCTGTAAAGCTCGTTGCGATACAACTGACGGATTGCTCGATCGAGAAAGCACAAATCGTGAAACAGACACACTCGCGTCACTCTGTCTGCTAGATTATTTCTCGTTACGATCGCGCGGACGAAACTTGTACTCGATTTCCCGGCGCGACGGATATATAAGCCAAATTTCGAAGTGGGTCATGCGGGAGCGATCACGTGTGTCTGATTTCCGACGCCGCGACGTACGCGGCCAGTCAATCACTCAGTCACTCACCTACTTCTGCCGAGTACGAGAGTCGTCAGAAATCTGTTGTCTTGAAACTTTAGTTGCTCCTCCTCCGTCGATATAAGCGTCGGAGAGCCCAAGGCGCCCGATTTTCGCTGCCCCATGCTGCCTACGGCCCTGCAAATGGACATACGTGCGCGTCAGACGGGTTGCATAACGTTAGAGAACGTTCAAGTTTAGAGATGCTCTAGTAAGAGATGCGTAATCTTTGAATGCGACGGGATTGGTCCAGGCCGACTTTGCAAGAATATGGCGGAACCAAAGAAATAATCGTATTTTATTGGTAAAGGCGCGGTAAAGATAAATTAATTAAAATTGAAGATAAATTACGTAAACTGAATTTATTTAATAAATTTATAAATATGTAAAACAGAAAACCCTTTTGCTGCAGAATTTTTACAATTTGGAACGCAGCAGCCTGGCATTATATTTTACTTCAGATATCTCCTATGTGAATATGACTATGTTAAAATATTTTCAATTCTCACATGTATTTTATGTGAACTAATATTTTATTATAACTAATATTTTATTATAACATTGCATTAATATTACTTTAATTATCAGCAATTTATATATATATATATATATATATATATATATATATATATTTATTCATAAATATATCGACACATGTAACACATGGAAGCCGCTATATTCTTGCAAGCAAGTTTGCGCATCTTTTACTAGAGGATTCCTATTCTTAATCGAAGACTTGACGAAAAAGACTATCGTGTCTCTAAATGCTTCTGCTGCTAAGAAGCGCGAATTGTATATGTATACGTGTATAAGAACTTTTTAAGAGATTTTATATAGGGTGAGAAAGAGAGATCACAGATTTTGTGAAATAATTGAAACGATCTAAAATACGATCTAAATAACGACAATGTTTAAATGTAATTAACTTTTTCTTCCATAGAGGAAATATCATTTTACTATTTAAGAAATCATTATTCAGTTCATTTTTCTTTGTTTAAATAATGAACTAAAAAAAACTACTTGAAAATTTATTTGTAAAATATAAAGTTTATTCTTGTGAATATAAACCTTATATCCCACAAATAAATTGTCAAGTATTTTTACTCAGTGTGGTTATTTATAAGGAACATTTTCTTAGTAATAATCTTAAATTATCACAAAATTTTTTTAATGAGATTCTTAAATTATTACAAAATTCTAGAGAAGCTCATCATGTGCTCAAAAAAAGAATTTATTCTCTTTATAGGAATATTATAAAAGTAAAATCGAAGTAAAACTTTATCGAAAAAAAAAAGTTAATTTGACTCTATGTAATCAGTAAGCCAAATTATTATTTTACTTTAATATTCTTTAATGGAATTATAACTTATTTAGGTTTTCAGAATGCCTTTTGGACAAATTTGATGCTTACGATGAGAATTTATGAGATTTACATATATATACTTATGAAATATGACGAAACAAGTAATATTTACTTGAATGTAGTATGTAATTTTCTTTGTGTAGATATTTCTTTGTGATAATATGAAAAATACATAAGGAGTTTTTAAAATTCCATCTAGCTGTCTGGGATGAGAGTTATTTTTACTTGACATCCCTTATAGAAAAGTATCACTGGCTGTGATAAATAGTAATTTTATTACTCGTACGAGTAATAAAATTATTGAACGACAGTAATTATCACTGGCCAAATTATCACTTATTAGTATTAAATTTCTATAAGGGATGTAAAACATATTGTACGTTAACCCTTCGAGGCTCGAAAAATTGTGGTGGTCGCTTTTAGTGAAATCTTTAAACTGCAATGGCACTCTCCAACTTTACAATCTCACTTCTCCTTAAATTACAAACGCAAAAAATTATTAGAGGCGATTTTAGTTCCCAACATGGGATTAATCTAAAATGGAACTTCGTCTATTATAATTTTAATTTAATCTTAATTTTGTTTAATCACTGGGATAACGTTGCATTTGTTAAAATACGTCGAGTCGCTCTCATAGTCAGCATATATTTGTCTGCTGAAAGCAATTTTTCAAATGCGGTGTTTAAACGTCGAATAATCATGTAAACATCCTCGATCTAATTTCTAAGGATTTATTACGGGAAAGAAAGAGTCTTCGCGGAAAGAATATCTGTAAGAGAAGAAGTGTTCACTCGTTCACTGATAAAAAAATATTTGAAAATTTATTTGTGAGATATAAAATTTATTTCTGTGAATAAATCTTATATCCATCAAACACATTTTCACGTATTTTTATCTCAGCGTTCGTTCGTGCGAACGATTCCGTGCGCAGGAATCCAGCGTTTCGCCCGTCTATATGTCGGGGTAAAAGGGTCTTAAACGGGGCCTGATTTTTTAGTGAGCGCGAGATGCGAGGGATTATTCGCATCGGGACGACACGACCGAAGGCCCCGGTGGTTCGAACGCGTGGAATATTTCTAAATTGGCGGTGTCGGTCGATTGTCACCTAAATATCTAGATGGGATAATTGGGCCTGGATTGGCCTTACCGGCTATTTTTAGCCATCGCGAAGGGGTAGACTCTATTCCACCGGCTAAAAATAATCCTATGGCGAATGGACTGATGTATACGCTTCGAATCCTGTGTTCTCTTTCGACGATTTTTATCCTATTGGATAAAACTAAATGTTCACCTTACAGGAAGAGCTTGCGCGAATCACTCTACAGCGAGAAGAGATTCAGAGAAGGGAAGACGCGACTCTTTCCTTTAATGTACGAAATATTACTATACACAGCGAATTTTTCCGAAAATATAAACATTCATTAACCGAAGAAGAGTGTTCCCTATTTAAAATATTGAATAGAAAATGACAAAAAACATTGGCTCTCCTTTTCAATGACGATTTCACACCTCTTTTCAAAACGCATTCAAAAGATTTCGCAAATAAATTATATTACAGGTTGTCGTATTCTTTGTGTATGTATAAATATATGTATTTTTTTCTTTTAATGTAAATATAATATAAAAATATATATTTGCAAAGAATATGATAACCCATAATATAATTTATTTATGAAGTTTCTTAAATACGCTCTAGAAAAGGAGATGTGAAATCACCAATGGAAAAAAAAATATTTTCTATCATTTTCTATGTAACATTTTATAAGCAGAGTCCGATTAAGATATATTTATAATGTAGAAAAAATGTCAAGATATAGTATGGGAAATTTAAAAAGCAGAAGATAAAACTGTAGAAGCAATTTTTTTTCCAAAAAGTATGGAACTTACTCAATGGTTTTGAAACGCACGTGAAGAAAAAATTTCCACACTAAATATTTCTATACTGAATATATTTTTCCCATATATCAGGTATTGCTTTAATGCTAGAAGGAGAGAAACGTTTGATTGAATTCATCTGATAATGTGTGAACGAACCAAACGTTTTGGTTGAAGGAAGCAGGATTTCTAGTTTTTATAAATCGAAAAACTGATTCGATCAATTTATTTGTGCAACAGTTCCTTTGCAAACGGTGACGAGCAATATAACGCGATCGACACAGTTACAACTGCATATTACAATCGCAACGCACATTCCGTCCTTCTGCAATTCTCATAGACGCACATTAAACAGTAGTGCTTCACATCACACAATAGTTATTGTCTGAGTTAAAATTTTTTCCCATACTGACATCAGAAATAACGAGCAATCTGCAAACTGCAGCGAAAATATACACAGAAAAATATCATTCTACCGCTGAGAAAAACGATTAACTCAGTTTACTTCCTCTTTTTAACTCTATAACACTATAATTGAGTATACTATACCCATGCTATTGTTGTAAGTTGTTCGCCGTTTCTATATAGTAAAAGATAAGGAATTAATATTGGAAAAAAATTAGCAAAAGAAATTCCTATTTTCTCTCTACAATTGCCGATGCTACATTCTATTTGCTATTTAGCAGATATAGAAGACACCATTGAAATCAATCTTGACGTTAAAATTTTTCATGTTAAGACAATATATTTTTTTAAATCATTATTTCACATTTTTTTCTGAAAAGTTATATCTTTCACAATACAATAAAGCTATATACAATATGGCTTTATACAATACATATGGTTTTATACAATACATTACAAAAAAACTATATATTTTGAATTAAGTAACCTTTTTTTGATTAAGGAAATTTCTATTCGACTTTTTCACACAAACCTAAGTTTTTTTATAACATTTCTATTGTAATTGATAATATAGACGTATTTCTGACATTTTGGCGTTTAAATAAAAAAAATATATATTAAAAAATATCTATTTTTTGAGAAAATATTAATAGTTGAAAGTAGCTGGATGTACTACATCCAATGCGGTGAAATCGAGACTCTAAAGAAATGTGTAGTTAAGGTTAAGTAATTATTATCTTCAACAAAGAATATTTCCTTGAAAATAATCTTAAAATATAATTATCACAAGTATTAGAAAGGCTCATTTTAGCATGTATTTAAAAGAAGAATTTACTTTCTTTACAAGAATATAATAAAGCTATCGAAGAGAATTTGTCACAACTTTTTATAGTAAGTAAACCGAATTTTTATTTTAATTTAATATTTTGGTTGAAATTTTATTAGGATTTAGAATGTATTTGGAATAGATTTAAAGGGACTGGAGGGTCAGATTGTCTGCAAATCGTGGTTGTTTTTTCACAATTTTTTATGACAAACTGAATAAATATGCAAAAGTGTTATTTTGACGTGTATTTATACAACATATAAAGAGAAAAAAAATATAATTTTGATGATCAAATACGTGTATAAGTGTATACTCAATATAAGTGTATGGTATATGCAGTTAAAATATATTTCGTTTTTCTTCCCAAAGTCGTCATTTTGCAGTAATATCTTGACTCTCGGTGATTCAGTTAAACTGAATTTTAGATAGAAAATTTCCGTAAGCTTGTCGTTATCGTGTAAACTACTGACAAACTCGTGAAAATATTTAATTTTGAAATATTAATTTTTTTACTATAAAAGAACTGAAAATTTAATAATATTCCATTAAGATATTTGCAATTTTGTTAACTTTTATTCAATATCTATTATAGTGGTTTACACGATAACGACAAGCTTACGGAAATTTTCTAGTAATTGAGTAAAAGTTAACAAAATTGCAAATATCTTA